CTTCCATCTTGTGAAGTTCGTGGAGGTCAAATGACTTTGACCCCAGCTCTGTTATACAGGTTTTTACAGCCAAGTGGTGAGAAAGCAATCCAACCTGACTCTCTTGTTTTTAAATTAACTGAGAATGATAAATTCCAAATTTTCCTATAGAAATTCTGTTTCAACTCATGGTGACCCCATATGTAGAGAGCAGTACTATGCCCACAGGGTTTTCAAAGTAGTGAACTTTATGAAGCAAATGACCAGGCCTGGTTTCCAAGGAGCCTCTGGTTACATCTGAACCAATAACTTTTTAGTTAGCTGCAGTTACTGCTATGTGTTATCTAGCTGGAACGGACTCAGAGCTATCAGTGGGTTTTCAAAAGCTGTAAATCGCATGGGAGGAAACTACCTATCTTTTCAAGGTAGATCAGCAGCTGGTAATTTTGAATGTCTTTGGGCTGGTGGTGCAATGCCTAACTCAATAGGCCACCAGAGCTCCCTTTAACCAGTAATCAAAAATTTAACTATTATACCACTCAAAAGTTACATTACAAGATAAACAATAATATTTGATGTAATAAATACAATTATTTAAAAAGAAATAAGCATAGACTTATGAATCAATGGCACATAACAACAATAACATACTATGACAGGTTTGGAAGCAGGAGTAGCATCCACTTCCTAAATAACATGCCTCTAGAAACTCTTATGAATTTTGATAAAAGTTGATAGCTATAGAGGGGCTTCAAGCCTTTTGTTCACAGGGTCGCTATGAGTCATGCTCGACTCAAAGGCAATCAACAACAATAAGCATGGATTATTTAATATCAATTAAGACTGCTTATTAATGAGTATGGGAGGCAATGATAGTCATTTCTCCCTTAGGTCTGGAACTTTCCACAAAACAGTAACTCTTATTATCACTCAAAGAGAAGACTCCAATACACTTATGATCATAATGTTGTTGTTATTGTGTGGTATTAAGTTGGAATCAACTCTTAGCTGACCCTTCAGCAGGTTTTCAGAGGCAGTAAATCACATGGGAGGATACTGCTCATTTTTCTCCCATGGAGGGTTTTGGTGGATCCGAATCACATGCCTTTGGTATTGCATCACAGCTTTTACCACTAGGCCACACCAAGCATGTTGTTGTTGTGTACCATCAAGTCAGAACTGACCCATAGCTGACCCTCCAGAGGGCTTTCGGAGGGAGTTAACTGCCTGGGTGGAGACTGCCCATTCTTCTCCTCAAGAGCAGCTGGTGGATTCTAACTGTGTGCCTTCAGGATTGCAGTGCAGCTTCTTACCACTAGGCCACCAGAGCTCCCTTATACCAGGCACAGGTATAAGAAAAGATGCATAAAGGTTGTAGTTGTTAGGTGCCATCAAGTTGAGTGTGATTCAGAGCGACCCAGCAGACAACAAGTCGGAATCCTGTTCTGTTCTGCACCATCCTTACCCTTCCCAACAAAAAGTGACGCTATGAACAACAGATCTGCACTTGGCCCTTGTCCTGTGACCTCCTCGCAATCTCCCATATGTAGGAGGCCATTGTTACAGTTACTGTGTCAATCCATCTTTTAGGCACAAAGGTCCTTAGATTTTTAAAAATGAGATTAAAATGGTAACTGGGGAAGAGAATGATTGCAGGTCTTTGTGAGCTGGCCCCTTCTAGCATAACTCTAACAAGGTGATCTTTGGCCATCTCCTGAGTTTATTTAGTCCCAACAACTGTTATAAATGATCACTTAATATTGATGATGTCAGGCAACAAGGACACCCAGAGCCTTCTGTTACTTGAGGGAGAGACAGAGAGAGAACATGATGTACATTAAGGAAATAGGCCTGAGACAATTCAGCCAGCAGTTTTTTACCCCAATGGAAATTCTTATCTTCTAAGAAAACCAGGGTCTAACTTGGTGGTTTAATTCAAACCTAGTAGCTGCTCCATGAGAGGAAGATGCGACAGAGTGCTTTTGCAGAGATTCTGTAGAAATTACAGTTTTGGAAATACTATGAGGTACTTCTACTCTGTCCCATAGAGTTGTGATGCGTTGGAATAGATTTGAGGGCAATGCAATGGGTTTGGGATCATGGTGCAACAATTAAGTGCCAGTTTCCTGAATTGTAATTTGAAACTACCCAGCTACTCTGGAGTAAGACCTAGTAAAGTATTTCTATAAAGTTTGCACCTAAGGAAATCCTATGGGGAAAAGTTTTACTCTGTCACATGCAGTTGCTATGAAAACTGACTTTAAAGTACCTAACAGCAAAGGATACAGACAAGAATGATGGGAGGTATCTAGGAAAAAAGTCAGATAGAATTATGACTCGAGGATGTGATGGAGAACTGGAGTGCCAAAGCCACTCAGAGAAACTGAAGTAAAAACCATTCTCAACAAATATAGATAGCAAAAGTCCCTGTTGATGCCCTGTCTGTCTCTTCAGTCTTTTCTCAAGGAGAAATTTAGTACAGACCAGTTTATTAACAGGACAATCTACTCAAGGTAAACCAGTTATGCCAATTGGGACTCTTGCAGACTTAACCCTATGATGTCTTTTGGAAAAGAAACCCTTGATAGGGTTTTCATTGCTGTGACATTTCAAAAACAGGTCATTTTTCACCAGTGACACCTCTAGGTGGTTCAAATCTGCAACTTTCCAGTTAATAGCTATGTGCTTAACTTTTTGCACCACCAAGAGATACAATTCAATGAAGAAAGATGGGTAATCTCCTCCTGTGTAATTCACAGTCTTTGAAAATCTGTGTTCCCCAGGAAAATATACGTATATAATGTTTTAATGTGGAAGCTATGTAATAATCCCCCTGAACTGATAAGCCAAGTAGGTCTAAAAGGATTAAGGATGGGATGCTAGACTCCTTAACCCCCTCAGAGCCCTAATCCAATTTTTTCCTAGGGTGTGGCCTGGAAAAAAGGGGAGGAAAGTCAGCAAGGAGTGAGCAGTCCTCTGGCACCACCAAGAAAGAACTGCAAGGACTGGAGTATGTATTTTTTGGACCCAGGCTCCTGCCTGAGGAAGCTTAACCTGGGGAAGGCCAATGCATGGAGATCTCCAGTAATGCCAACTCTACAGATCCAGAAGGAAACTATGACCTTTTCCTAGACGTGAAAGAGAGAGAGAGAGAATGCCTTCCTGCAGGACTGGCAACCTGAATTTGAACTTCTATATTCCTAAACTGTAAGAGCATAATCTATATTAAAGCCATTCACTTGTGATAGCTATGGTGTAGCAGCACTACTGTTCACTGCTTTCAAGTCTGAACTGAACTCACAGCTGATCCTACAGTGGGTTGTCTGAGGCTGTAAACCTCATGGGAGAAGAATGCCCATATTTCTTTATCAGAGCAGGTGATGAACTTGAACCACCTGCCTTTGGATTGGTAGTGCAGCTCTCCACCCACTAAGCCATGAGAGCTCCCTATAGCAGCACTAGGTGATTAAACAGGCCAAATGGGGCTTAGTGATGTGTGTTAGAGCTCTGTGATGTGAGAGTCTAAAGTCAGGTTGACATCAGACAAGTGTAATCATCACTGAAGGTTCTGATCAGAGTCCCAATTGACAGATCTTGAGCAAAAGGAAGAAACTAGACTTCCTGGGCTTACTGAGACTGAAAGAAGTCATAGCCTGAGAACAACTTTTGAAGCCTGGACCAAAACTATGCCATGAAGTCTTCTCTAAAGAAAATTGAACGCAATAAATGTCTATCTTGAACACTTCACCCAACAAAGAATCATATGTTCAAAGAATTGTACACAAGACTAAATGACAATAACTCTAAAATACAGTTGTGACCTTAAAGGCAGAGTACAGACTGACAGTAATGAAATGACTTGGGCAGAGATAATGAGAATTGTGACACAATGTGAAAAATGCAAGTATTGCCAAGGGACCCTATATTACTAACAAAAAATGCTGAATGGGTTATGTTTGCTTGTGTGTACTTTCAGCAAAAATAAAAGAGTTGGGGTGGGTAGATTCTATGAATAGGTCGATACATATTACAAGTGCCTTTTACATGCGCATGCATGTTTTCAGGGACAAAAGTTTTGTGAATTTTATTTATGCATACTATGGTATATACACCTACACAACAGCTATTGCTATATTTACATTACCTCATTTCAACATACATATTAGACAGTGAATAAGGCAAGAGTGAACTGTGATATGAGAGCTTGGGGCTGTGTGGTATGCTATCTTGCAGCAGCAGTATTTGCAAGAGATGATGTGTTACAAGCTATGTTGGATGGGGCAAGGTTGGCTATGGTGACACCATGCACAGCACAGGGGTGCTGGGGAGGTATGATTATGCTGCACGACTTGAATGTGATGTATTCAAGGCTTGCTGCATGGGAAAAGATTGTGTGGTGCGCCACACGTGTGTATTTTGTGAGCATGGCGGCGCAGCGCTGAATACTAGGGGATGTTCATGGGTAAGGGTCTAGATTGCGCCCTTGCGGAGTGAATGAATGGTGTGTGGTGCTGCATCTGGAGGCACTGGTGATTGAAGGGTTTTATCTGTGTAGTACTTACTGTGTGTGTGCCGAAAGCGGTGCATATGAGATGATTCGGAGGGGCTGCAGAGCTGGGATCCGCGTCGTGATGCATATGTGTATGTGCAGCTATATTTGTGTGGCAGAACTGGGGGGTGGGGGGATCGTGCTCAGTGGCTCCTGTGCATTAGTGATAAGGGCCGGAAGCGCTGCATGACACAGGGTGGCGGTGAGAGGTACTGAAGTCAAGGCTATGGAGGGGGTCAGGGCGTACGCTGGTCCAGACAAGCAGGAGGGGAGGGGTCTGGGGTGTGCAAAAGAGACACCGGCGGTAGAGGAGCCGCGTGGGCGGTGGGTCTGCAAAAACGTGTTCTTGGAGCAGCCAGTCGGCTTCCTCATCAGCGAGCCAGCTAGGGCCACCCTCGCTTGCCATCGCTCCCCTCCCGCCTCTTCCTATCGCCCCTCGGGCGCGCCCCTCGAGCGGTCTGGACCACCTCACCTGGTGAAAGCGAAATACATGAGGCTGACGATGGTGAAACTGAGCAGGGTGATGGTGTGCGGCCGGTAGAAGAAGTCGATGGTAATGTCCTCCACTTGCTGCTCGTTGATCATCCGGAAATGCATCTTATAGTTCACATCATCTTTGCTCAGGGTCCTGCTCCCCACGCAGGACGCCATGGCCCGCCTCCCCGTCCTGCGGCGGTGGTGGCGGCCCCGGCCCGGAGGCTGGGACCTCGGCAGTGGAGAGCTACAGCGGAGAGGGAGCGGGGCGGAGGTGCCGGGTCTGGCGCGGAGCAAAAGCTGAGCGCGGAGGGAAGGGCAGGCGCGGGAGGGCGGGGTCGCGGCGCCGCCAACCAGGCCTCGGGCGGGGTGCGCCGCAGGCTGTCCGCAAACCGGCCTTCGGAGTGAGACATCTTTGGGCTCTCCTGAAGTCTTCGGATTCCTGACTGACCGTATTTGGGGGAAGAAAAGAAAAAGAAAGGGAAAACGACAGCGTCTGGCCGGCCCGGTGCCCGGCCCGCCGCCCGCGCTCCCCCGCGCACACGCGCACTTGGTCTCGCCCACTCTGGGCGCAGCCCACGTGGGGCGCGGAGCGCGGCGGCGCACTAGCCCAGCGACGGGACCGGCGGCAGTGGGGCGCGTCTGGAAGGGGCCCAGGGCCGGCGTCTGAGCGGTGGCTGCTCGCTGCGGGCCCTGCGACAGGTAAAGCCAGAGCCACCGGAGTGGACGGGGACCTCCCGGGCCGGGCTCCGACCCCTTCCTGCCCTAGACCCACCCACGTGGGTGCTGCGCCCGGGTCCTTCCTCTAGGCCTTTCAGCCTTCGCAGCTTGATCGGGGACGTTGGGTCTTGGTTTTTGTTCCTTGGTTGACGAGGAGAAAAGAAAAGAGAAAAAAAATCAGCCATGCTTGTTTATTAGCGAGCTTTGCAGGGAATATTGAAGGAGGCCCAGCGCCTTAAACTGCTTTCCCGCGCAAGTTTTGTTTCGAGAAATCCCTCGAGTCCTTAAAAATGTGATCTGGAGACGATATGAAACTTTTGGGAGATGCTTTGGCAAGCCCTTGTCCCCCCTCCTTTTGAGTCCTGCTAATCACAAGTTGGAACTCATCAGCTGCTGAAAGATGAGACAGTCTGCTTTCGTAAAGATTTAGAGCCTTAGAAATGCAAAGAGTAGTTACACTCTGCCTTACAGGGTCTCCGTAAGTCGGAATCTACTCTTTAAGAGTGGATGTGGGTTTTGTTTTTAATACTCCTTTTATGACTGGCTTATCAGTTTCTGTGTTGCTGCTGTTGTTAGGCCATTGACTGGTAATGACCTTTTGAACAACAGATCTGAACTTTGCCCCATACCGAGCAGTCCTATCTCGGATATGCTAGTGCCAGTTGTTAACACTGTGTCAATCTGTCCTGTTGAGGTTTTTCCTCTTTCTCTGACCTTCCATCTTTCCCAACATGATGCCTTTTTCCAAGGACTGGCCCCTTCCTGACAACATACACAAAGTGTGTGAGACAGTTGTTGCTAGGTGCCCTCAAGTAGGTTTTTGGCAAAACAGAACTGCCACTGTTGGGAAATTTGGCTGTAATCTTACTGAAGCAGATCAGGAGGTCTTTTTCCCTTGGAACTGTTAGGTGGATTCCAACAGCCAACCTTTTCATTAACTTATGCTACAAAAGTAGAACCCTTGAACTCTGAAAACAAACAGGAAAGGATATTTGAGGGCCTGCTCTGCCTTTCAGCAAAGTACTAGCACACAGTGGAGATTCTGTATGTGAACTAGTATGTGATTCTGTAATGGATTTCAGGGTTGGTTACAGGGATTTAATCTTACCAATGGAAGGGTCATATTGGAAGACTCCTTTTTTGATCACTATGGGGGGCTTCAGGCTTTTTGTTCATAGGGTCACTATGAGTTGCACTTGATTTGAAAGCGATCAACAACAACATGCAGGGCTTTTGTATACATCCCCAAGTTCCCTTGTGTACTTTTGGGTACTGCAAATGCACAGGAGTTTAACTGTAGTGCTGTTGATTCATTTCCATAGGAACAATTAGAGGCTCTGCTAGTGGGCAGTAAAACCTGGGAAGGTGAACCCACAGATCAGACCCTGCCCTGCTCTAGTGAACAAACAGTGAAGATGCAGAAATAGCAATAAAATTACATAGCGAAGCTAATACACTTAGCATAGACATTAAGCAGGCAAAGTGCTCTTAGAAATGGAAGAGTAGATATTAGTTATATGCATAATGTCTTTTCATTATATGGAAAGAGTCCATCAATTTGCCTGCTTGATGTAGAAAGGGTTTTAACTTAAGTCTGGTAAGGCTTTAGGGGCCCTGGTTAGCCCATCTGCTGTCTGAAAATTTGGCTGTTAGAGTCGCCCAGCCTCTCCTTGGGAGAAAGATGTGGCTCTTAGCTTCCCTAATGATAACTTTGGAAATTCTGTGTGACGGCCCTGCTCTGTCTTGTAAGGTCACTGTAAGAGGCTGAAGAAATAGGTTTGGAGTGAGCTTTGGCTTTCCAAAGTGTGTTAGAGAGGGCCAAAGTGACTACACAGCTAATAATGGGTTTTTGTTTTGTACCACTGAGTGGGAACCCACTCATGGCTGACTCTTTGGCGCGTTTATAGAGGCTGTGAATTGCATGGAAGGAGATTGTACATCTTGCTCTCTCTGGAACACCTGGTGCATTTGAACTGTGTGCTTTTGAGTCCATAATGTTGTTACTTATGACTGTGCAAACAGAGCTCCTTTGACACAACAAAGGAGTCAAAAATGTTAATGCTGACAGGGACCTTAAGAATTGAAGCTCCATCTGACATACTATGGGCATGCTGCCAGGAGGGACAGTCCTTTGAGAGGGGGCATCATGCTTGGAACGGTGGAGGGACAGTGCAAGAGAGGAAGATCCTGAATAAATATGGATTGATTCAGTGACTGGGGTAATGAGGATTGGTGAGTCTGAGACAATGAAATAGGTTCAGGATAGAGTAGGATTCAGAGCTGTTGTACATGGAATCTCTATGGGTCACAAGCAACTCGATTGCGTGTAACAACAGCAACACTCGTTAAATTTTAAAATAACAATATAGAATGGCTATTAAGCAAGCCCCCCTCATGGGCTAAGTTTGATGCAAGAGTACCTAAGAAACTTAGTCTTGTCTGATTAGCGTGACTGAGGTCTCTGGGCTCTGAATTACTACCTTGATGACTGCTGTGTAGAGAATTCATGTAGCTGTTGAGAGAAAACGTGTCAGTTCTATCAAAATCTCACTTGACCCACAAGGTTATAGCATGAGTACCTTTTTTCTTCCTAGAGCCATTTCAGAATGGCAGTGAGATTCTCATTTTTATTAATCTCTAATTCAGAATATAAACCAGGCTGAGTTCCACTAAAAGAAAGGGGGGGAAAAAACCCCAAAACAAAAAAAAAAACCCACAAAACCAAAAAACTCTTTGCCGCTGAGTGAGTTCCAATCTTCCATAGAATTTTAAAGGCTGTAAACATCCTTAAAATGGCAGGATGGTGCCCATCTTTGTCCAGAGGAGCTGCTGGTAGATTTTGATTGCAGGACATTCAAGGCTCTTGATGATCAAGGCAGCCTGCAACAGCCCAGTGCCAGCAGGTCTCCCTGAATTCTATTAGGTGGGAAAAAACAAAACAAAACAACGTATGCAGAGTAGTAAAGTACCCACAATTTTCTTTTAATAGCAAAATCAAAGCAACCAAAGTTCTTTGGGGCTGTTGAGTTGATTACAACTCGTAGTTGGTGGTGATCCTATGAATAGAAACCTTGCCACATTCTCAGAACCTCCACCATGGTCAGGCACGTTCTTGCAGTCACTCACGCTATCCATCTTGTTGAGGTACTTCCTCACACGATGTCTTTTTCCCAACAATAAAGTCTCCCAACAATAAAAATAAAAAGGTGTATGCAAAAGTGAATGAAGCAAAAATTCTTTCATTTGTTTGCATAATCGATAACACCAGCTGATATTTATTGAAGGAGCTCTGGTGTCACAGTGATTAAAGCATTTGGTTAATAACCAGACTGTTGTTGAACTCACCAGCTGCTCTGATCGAGACAAAAGAGACAGGCCCACTTTTAGAAAGATGTAGTCTGAGAAACCCCTCAGGGATGTTCTGCTCTGTTCTACCAGTTCGCTGTGAGTCATAATCAACCTGACAGCTTTTCAGCTTAAGGTTTTTGAAGTATTTTCCAATTGCTGGACTCCACTTTATGGGTTATTTTGTATAATGTAGAATATATGCACCATATTTACTTTTCTAATTAAGTTAGGCTAAATATACAGTCCTTTATAGTGCTTTAAGTAATGACAGCCTTACTTGAGAAGTATCCTTAAAAGAGCTACTTTTTCAGTGCAAATATGCATATATTCATTCCCAATTGCTTTTATCTTTCCATCACTTTCTTTTGCTTGCTAGTTTTGACCTTTTCAGAGGATTTTGGGATTTTTCCTACAATGAAACAGAACTTGACAGAAACTTACTCTTTTTTTATCCCCCCCCAGAAACTTACTTTTAAGAAACGTGGCTTGCATTGTGAAATAATCACGTGCTCAGTTCTGTGGGTGAAGCCAGAAAGAACTCTCACTGTTCTCTACAGCATTGGTAATATTTTGATGATCTGTTTAGGACAGAGTGGATTTCTTTCTGCTTTTATTTTTTTACTAATTTATAATAGATAAAATGCATTCTAATGATCCTATTTTGATCAGCAACTGCATAAATGCCCTTCAAACCAAATTTTAAGAACCCGTAATTGCATCATCTTAGATTCTTTAAATGGTCACATTATTAGCGTTGGTGAGCATCAGCCATAATTTGAACATTAGCGGATTCCTGTTTTGTGAGGTTTGGCGTTTTGGTTTTTGTTTTTCTTAAAACTCTGGTGATTTGATTCTTGGTTTTAAATCATGTCTTTATTTTTCTAGTTTAGAATTTCCTGTCTTTTGGTTTGTAAATGAGTCTGTCTTGTTTTTTCACTTTTCCTATAAATAAAAAACACCTGACTGCTTGAGTCATCCAAAACTCAACCTCTTTCACTTAGGAAATAAAAAAATTCCAGTTTGTCATTTTTGTTAGTTAAATACTGATTTTAACATCTAAAAACATTAAATTTGTTTTCTTTCCCCGATTCTATTCTTCAATTTAGGCTACTTGAAGAAAAATGGCCCTGTCAGCCCAGCAGATACCCAGATGGCTCGGCTCAATTAAGTTGAGTAGCTTCATTAATGGTGCACAACTCCGAAAACATTTTCTGAGACAAAGAAAAACATTGCTGCATGGCTTCCCTGCTCAGCCTCAGATGTCCTCTGACAATTGCTGTCTCTGGTGGGGAATTAAGACTTACAGGACTTCCTCCTCATGGAATAGCTCCCAGTCCACCAACTCAAGTAGCCAAGAGAATCCTCCTCCCCACAGTGCTCTGCTTCCTTCTGCTAATGGGCAGTCACCAAAAGCACAGAAGATCCCCAGCGCTGATTCCACGGTGTCTCTAGAAGGTAATTCTGAAGTTTCCTAGAAGTCTGTTCCACTCTTCCCTTCAGTAGTTTGAACAAAGCTGCCTGCCTGTCTAGATCTTCCTAAACTACTTCAAGTCAAACCCAGCTAGAAAAAGAACAAAGCTAATTCCATTCATTTACTTCTATTATACTTTTATTTCACTAAGTAAGAAGGAAAAACTTCTAAACTTACTTAAACACATGCCATTTGCTTTCTACAAGCATTGTGAGATTCTTTTTAAAGAATTTTTTTTTTCTGCTGGTTAGGTAGGTTTGCTCAGTTTTAATTGACAGCCAGTAAAATTCAAATTCAGTTTTGTTGTTTTCATCTAGAATATTTATGTTTTACTTTATATATACTGCATTTGGGTGAAATCACATATGTGATAAAGATAGGAGTCAAAATTCTCCATCCTCCTCTACCCTTTTTTGTATGTGAATGTTAAATTACTTTAGTGCTTTTTTAGTTCTTTTTTACTTGATTTGAGTGAAAGTTTACTAAGCAAATTGGTTCTTTTTAACCATTCATAACAATTTTGTTTTAGGACATTACTTATAATACAAAGTAATTACATCTTCCCACTTTGATACTATAATCGTCATTTCTGTTAATCCTCCTACCCTTCCCCTCATGCCTTCTGAGCTTTATCCCTTTTGCCCTTTTAATCTTGGGCACTTGGTTATTCTAGTAGTAAATACTTCTTTAGTGTTAATGCTCACCAGGTAGGCCTGGCATTTGGCTGAAAGTTGAACCACAGGAGTAGGTTTGGTCCCAGGACCATGAGATCTTAAATCTGTAAATTCATTAGCTAAGGAGTGGACCTACATTGAAAGGATTGTGTGCTTTTGTAATTCCTTTAAATTACAAGGAGCTCTGGTGACGCGGTCTGTGGGGAGTTGCTGCACTAATGCAAAGGCTGTACCTCTTATAGTTCAAATACGTGTCAGCAGCTCTGCAAAAGAAAATTGGGTAAACTCCGTGTGACTTACAGCCTTGGACACCACATGGGGGTCAACTATGAGTTGGTTCTAATTCCATGGCAGTGCGTTAGACTATTATACCATGTGTAGAATTCCAGGTAATACAAGTGTGTGTTTAATAATTCTTTTTAAATTATAAGTCAAAAACAAGCTACCAAAAAGTAATTTATCATAATGATCTGCTAATAAAGAATTTAAATATCTAAAGCTTCATGAATTCAAGGAGAGTTTGTTGTTGTTGTTGTTGTTATGTGCCGTCGAGTCGCTTGCAACTCATAGCCACCCTATGTACAACAGCCCTAAACTCCGCTCTGTCCTGTGCCAATCGCACTGTCTCTGACACTCCCATCCCAATTATCCCAGT